CTGGAGGAGGGGAGGCAGTGAAGGGACAGGGAGGGTGAGCAGGGCGTGCTAAAGGGAACAGGGGGCCGGTGTGGGGGCCGGGGGAGCTGGGAAGAAGCTACGGTTTCACAGCCCCCAGATAGCAACACGTCGGAGCCGTGGGGGCAACACACGGACTCTCAACAATGCAGAGTCAGAGGAACCGGAGGGGCAAGGGGCGAGGCCGAGGCAGACGGGGAGCACGGGCCCAGCCCAGCAGGCCGGAGGGGTCTGCACAGACAACGGCGAGGGAGAGGGAGAGGGAGCTGGTGGTCCCACGGGGAGCAGGGCAGGGAAGGACCGAGTCACTGGATGTCCACACAAGCCCATGCTCTCGTTCAGGGGCCAATGCAGTGCGCCCCGAGGGGCTGGGGCCAGCTGAGGCTGGCGGGTCCCCGGCCGCCTGTTTCCTGGCACAGCCCCGCACGGGGGAGGAACGGGGATGTGCAGTGCCCAGGGCGAGTTCCAAGAGCTGCGTCACCCTCCGATGGCCCACCCCACCCAGATTTATAGGGCCAGGCCTGGGAAAGCCGCCCTCCCCATCTCCTGAGGACCAAACAGGAAGAGGCACTTCCCGTCAGCAATGCCCAGGGCCCTCCAAGGACAGGGGGAGGTGGACTCCAAGGAACAGGCCTGGGCATCCCTGCTCTCCGCACTGAGCAGGCGCCGTCAGCACCCGAATGAGGGGAGAGACCTGTGCACCTGCCCCGGGAAGCTGGGCCTGGGCGGGGGGCTGGGCGGCGGCTGGCTCCTCCCCATCAGCACCCCCTCGCTTACCCACACCTCCTCGGAGCGGGCAACCCAGAGACCTTGAGGACACTTAGCAACACTCATCCTGCCTCTTGGGCCCACTGGACTGGGGGAGAGACCAGCACCTCCCCCCTTGGCGCTGGAGGGGAAACCCATAACTCAGAGCTGTCTGGTCCTTCCTGGCACATCCGGGGCCCTGCTGCACCCTGCAGACACAGCGTGGTCGGGCACTGAGGTAGTCATGCTCAGCAGCTACCCCTGGGTTCGAATCCTGCTTTTACCACTTTCGAGGGGTGTGTGTGTGGGGAGGGTGGGGGTGGTCTCGAGCAAATAGCTAATCTGCTGCCGGTGTGTCCGGGGGCAAGCACACCCTGCCAGGCAGTGAGATGCAGAAGAGCTGTGCCCACAGCACCTGGCAAAGCGCCCAGCCCATTGCTGTTCGCACGGCTTCCCCACGCAGGTTCAGCGGCTCCGGTTTGATGCTTACATCATGGGGAGCCCAACCGAATGCCCCTCTGAGCACCTCAAGGTGCTTCTGAAATCATCGCATCGGCCCGCATCACCGCACCACGGAGACCTCAGCAGGCCGAGATCCTCTGTGTGAGCAAATAGGGGCCACAACCCGGGGCTTCCTCCTCCCCTGCCTGGTCTGGGAGAACTCGGGGCCCCCAGACCAGCCACAGCTCCGGTGGGCACCCCCCCCCCCTGCCCTGACAGTTCACACAGGCGAGCGGGTGGGAACAGGAAGACTGACTCTGGGTGTGGGGTGCTGCCTTCCAAAAGGAAAGCTTCCCCCTGGCCCTTAGACCGCAGCGTCTGTCCCCACAGGAGGATTCCCCAGGTCTCCTGACTCCCTGGTCTGCATCTTTGGGGGGCTCCCAGCAACTCTTTACCCAATTCGCACCTCACTTCTCTGCTCAGAAACCTGCCAGGGTCCTCCAGGGCCCTCTATGGAAAGATGACAAGTCCCTCCCGCCCCCCATGCTGGCCTTTTTCGCTCAAGTTTCACCTCCACCCCCACCCACACCACCCCACCCAGGCACCCAGCAAGCTTCCACGTATGTATCCCCCAGAGCAGAAGAGCCCGCCCTCCCGGCCTCGCCCTCCCTGCTGCCCTCCCCTCCCCGCCTCTGCAAAGCCTGGCCCCACCCAGCCTCCCTCCAGCCAGCCTCGCTGACCTTCTGTGTGTTTGCCGCACACACACACCCCCCCCCCCCCCCCCCCCCCGTTCCTCCAGCCTCCGGACACGAAGGATCCACAGTCCCAGGTGGGTGACCGGCCTGTGTAAGTGATCACACCCCCTGCGCCTCCATTTTCACTGCAAAATGGGCCCAACGATACCCACTTCCCTGAGTTACGGTCAGAATCAAATGATTAACGGCACAGAAAGCATTCCCATGGCGGCGGGCCTGGCGCAGGCACCCCACCAACGGAATCCACCCTGCTCCCTGGGCCTGTTTCGCTCTCCAACACCGTTTCCTTTTCTCCAAGGACGCAGCTCACACTCTCTGGACTTTCCCTCCTCCGCCTCAAGTATTTGGCTCAGCCCTGAGCATTGAATGCTGTTCAAAAATGCAGTCATGTAACCAACGAACAGCCCTAGCCAGTCTGTCTGACTCAGTGGATAGAGCGCCGGCCCTCGGACTGAAGGGTCCCGGGTTCGATCCCATTCCAGGGCATGCACCCCAGCGGCAGACTCGATACCTGGCCCTGGTCAGGGTGCATGCAGGAGGCAACCAAAAAAGAGGAGGAGCCGGGACCGGTTTGGCTCAATGGATAGAGCGTCGGCTTGGGGATGAAGGGCCCCGGGTTCAATTCCGGTCAAGGGCATGTACCTTGGTTGCAGGGTGTGCAAGAGGCAGCTGATCTATGACTCTCTCTCATTGATGTTTCTAACTCTCTCTCTCCCTTCCTCTCTGTACAAAATCAATAAAATATATTTAAAAAAAAAAAAAAAGAAGGAAAAATGAATAGAGGTCTTCCAGCCACACGCACTGGGGGGCATCCCGCGGAGGTGGAGAAAGCTGGGTCCTGCCAGACCACGCCAGGAGGGCACTGCCGCCCGCAGCCTTGCTGTCCCAGGGGCTCTGCGCTGCCCGTCCTCTCACCCACAGGAAGCACCCACAGGCACCGTCCCTCAGGCTAAGCTTCACCCCAGCAGCAGTGGGGTGGCCTGACAAGCCGAGCTGAATCCCGGCTCCCACAGGCATTTCCCGGGGCCGTTCGGATCGCGGTAAATTCCTCCCAGTGGCCACTGATTCATCAGGTACAGGGGCCAGGGAACAGTGGCGTGCAGGGACAGGACCTACGACTTCACCCTCCTCTTAACCGCAGGCAGGGAGACCGGGCCACCCCACCCCACACCTTCGCTTCTGCAGAGGGGCGGTGAGGGCTGTTACCCAGGCAATGCCATTGGGACGCGGGGGCTCCGAGTGCAGGGACACAGCCAGAGGGGGAGTAGGGGCCGCGAGGAGACCAGAGCAGAGGGGACACTAGGTGGCCTCCCGGACAGGGCCTCTCACTACAGACTTCCAGCTCCAGAGGGTAGGGGGGGAAGAGGCCCAGTCAGCACAGTGGCCACGGCTCTCCCACAGCCTGGCTTTAACATGCCGTTCAGGGCCTCTGGAATGGCCTCCTCCCGCCTGCCTCCTGGCTCCTCCACGGAGAGCAAGACCCAGCAGGAGCCGGGGAGCAGGGCAGCCGTGAGCCCTGACCCGCAGCGGGCGGGGCGGGTCCACACTCAGTTCCGGGAGGGTCTGGGATTCACTCTGCCGGCCGCCCCCTCGCCCAGCAGCACACTGGGAGCAGACCTGTATTTTGGTGGCAAAAGTCACACCTGGTGGGCAGGCCAATCCAGCAAGCACTGGCTGTGGGACTACCCGGGACTTTGCACAAACTTGCAAACACTGCACTGTCTGTCCCTCCTCACTCACCCGCATCCCCACAAAGCCGGGGGGTGGGCTGGGCCGGCCTGGGCTGTACTGACCGCCTGGCAATCACAGCTTTGACTGGGGCAGCAGCCCCCGGAAGCGAGCGGCTCTTTCCCTTCAGTGCTCGGATTCTGGCTGAGGGGCCCACCCGTCCCCCCACTCCACTGCCGCCCTTTAGACAGAGCAGCAGGAAGAGAAGGCACCGCTCACGGTATTTGTTTTTTTGTTAGCCTGGTTTTTTGCATCTTTAAGTGGCTCTTTGGCTGTCCGAGATCTGTCTACTCTGGAGGGGTGCCAGCTTGGCCGGGGCCGCCCACACCACACAGACACACACATTCACAGACACACACTCACACACACCACACACCCACACCACACACACACACACATACACACATACACACACCACACACACACACACACACACACACCACACACACACACACATACACACATACACACACCACACACGCTCGCACACACGCTGTCCAGCCTGTGGCTGCATCCCGGTGGCACAAAACTGGCGCCAGAGCTCCGTCCCAGCCCTGAGGATGCCGCGTGCCACCGGCGCCCTGGCAGAGGCCCCCAGCCCCCAGGAGTTACTGAAACAGCCACCAGGCATCCGACCCGGGAGCGGCAAGGAGACCCTCCCGGATGGAGCCTCCAGCTCCCGCAGGCGCCCCGCGGGCCCGGGCCGCGGGCAGGGCGATGCCGGGTGGTCCGGGGGGTGGTCCGGGGGGTGGCCCGGGGGGAGGTCCGGGGGCTGGTCCGGGGGATGGTCCGGGGGGAGGTCCGGACGGTGATCCGGGAGGCCGGCCGGGGGTCCGGGGGAAGGTTCGGAGGGGGGTCCGGGGGGAGGTCCGGGGGGTGGTCCGGGGGGAGGTCCGGGGGGTGGTCCGGGGGGAGGTCCGGGGGAGGTCCGGGGGGTGGTCAGGGTGGAGGTCCGGGGGGTGGTCCGCGGGGAGGTCCGGAGGGTGGTCCGGGGGGAGGTCCCGGAGGCCGGCGCGGGTCCCCCACCCCGGAGCCCGCCCTCTCCCCCGGAGGCTGCTCCAGACCCCGGGCTCCCCTCCCCCTCCGCGCGCCACATCTGGTTCCACTCAGGTCCTCCCCCACCTCCAGGCGCTCCCTCCCCCTCCTCCCGCTTCCAGAGGAGCAGAGATTTTTAAAAACCCGGTCACACGCGCACTCACACGTTGGGGGGGAGAGAAAAGGGGAGAGAAGGAGGGAAAAGTGGAGAGAGAGGCCCGCTCCCCGCGCTCCCCCCGCCCGGCCCCCGAAGTTGGCCAAGTCGGCACGCCTTACCCGGGGGGGCGGCGGCGGCGTCCCCGGGGGGCGCGGGGCGGCCCAGGGGCAGGCCCCCGAGGAGCAGGACGCAGCGCAGCAGGTGGCGCGGCCCGGGCGCGGGGCCCGGCCGGCGGGGCCCCATCCCGCGGCGCGCGCTCGGGGCGCGGGGACGGAGCGGCGGGACGCGGGGCGCGGGGCTGTGATGGCCGCCCGCCCGCGAGGGGCTCTTCCTCCGGCCGGGACGGAGTGATGCCTCCCGGGGAGCGGGGAGAGGAGATGAGGAGGGAGGGCAGGAGGCAGGCGGCGGAGGGAGGGCGGAGGGAGGAGCGCGGGAGCGGGAGGAGGGTGTGAGGGGCAGAGGGGACGGGAAGCGGCGGCGTGGGGGGCGGGCGCGGGGCGGGGGCCGGAGCCGGAGCGAGGGGCGGGGGATCCGCGGGGTCGAGGACCCCGGCGTGCGCGCGCCCCGCTTCCCGTCCCCTCTCCCCGCCTCGCCTGCCCGCGGCGCTCGGCCCGGGCTGGGCGCCCCAGACGCTGCGTCACAGCCCCCCGGCCGGCGCGGGCGGGCGGGCGGGCGGGCGGGGGAGAAACTGCAAAATTTTCCGCAAACTTCGTGGCGGGACACGGGCTGCGAGGCCGCGCGGGGCGGGGGCGGGGGCGGGGGCGGGGCGGGGCGGGGGCGCGCGGCTGCCCCGGCGGCCACTCCCGGGCCCGGGCCCCTCCATCCCGGGCCCCAGCCGCCGGGCGTCCGCTGCCTTCCAGCCCCGGAGGACCCCTCCTCCTGTCCCGGGGGGGAGGGAGGAGCTCAGGACCCGGCCAGCGGTTAGGAGACTGGGGAAGGGGGAGTGCAAACTTTTGCATGTCGTGTTTTAGCGTTTGTGTAACCCCTGGCACAGAGGGGAGCCGTGCTTTTGGCCGTTGGGGCTACAGGGAGAGATGCCCCGGAGGACAGGCATCACGCTCACCAGCAAGGGGGATGGCTGGCTGGCTGGTCACACAGCACCAAATGGAAATGGCATGAAAGGGAAGGCAATCCACAACCAGCCTGTGTATTATGCAACAGGTCACACCGGGGATCTCGGCGCCGAGCCAGACAGACATTTAGAGGCCCTCGATGCAGAGGAGATTTCGTGTTCTCCCACCATGAGTAATCAAATAAAAACTATGGAACTCATATAAGTTTTATTGTTTCCTGCGGAGTCCACCTCGGTGCTATTTTTGGAAATAACAGATTTAAAAAGTTCTCTCCCCGCCCCCCCCCCCGCTTTTTTTTATTTTTATTTTTTTAACTAGGATTGCCTTTGGTAAATCTTTCCCCATCGCTGCAGCCAGGGGCCGGAGATGCTCACTTAGCTCGTCCCTTCTCTGCTGGACTGAGGTTCTCGGCAAGCACAGGGGGTACAGGGCCCCAGAGAGAGCACCCATTGAAACACCCTGGAAGGATTCCCACTATCTGCGCTTTTGCCCTAAAATACGGTCAGCAGCCAGGCCAAAGGAGTTGGTGGCACTCCGTAGCTGGCGTGGCTGCGTCCCTGCTGGTGACGGATGCTTCGTGGAGGCACTTGGGAACAGACCTCCTCCACGCGGTGTGCTGGGACCTCAGGCTCTGCAGGCTGCTGGCCATGCTGGGGCTGTCTCAGAGCCTCCCTCGGCCCCCCTTCTCACATTTCCCGTTATCTACACAGGGTCTGAAGGTTTGCTGGCTTTGGCTAAGCTGCTGTCTTCTTCCCTGTCCTGAGCAGCCCAAAAACAGGGTGTCTTCTCAGAGTCAACTTATAGTAAGGTGACCAGACGTCCCGCTTTTGGCGGGACAGTCTCTTTTTTTTTTTTTTTTTTTTACAATTTGGAAAGTTTCCAAAAATCAGGACTTTTTTAAAACGCCACGGGACTCGGGACAAATTGTTGAAAATCGGGACTGTCCCGCCAAAAGCGGGACGTCTGGTCACCTTACCTTACACTTACAGCTTTCTATCAGCTCACTTCTCTCTGGAAGTGCTGGCCACAGCCCTCACTAAATCCCCTTTCCTCAGAAGGGGAACTCCCTGGGGCAGGGCTCCCAAGGTTCTGGCACAGGGTTGGAGGGCCAGAGTAGGTTCTGGCACTCCTTCCAACAGCAGGGCACAAATCAACTAACTACCAGACATCCCCCCTGAATGCCGTGAGTCCAGAACGCCCACCATTTGCCAGCACCAGCCCAGGGTGCCGGGCACACACATGCTCTCTCGTTCCTTCAGTTCCCTGGGGAAAACTCAACCACCATCCATCCGTGGCTAGCCCTGTGCTAGCTGCGAGGGAAGCAGAGATGAGGAAACCAGGTAGCAGCCCCAGAATTGTGTGTAGTGGGGAAAACAGACACGATGTTTGCCACATTCCAGGCAGAGGAACTGCCACTCGGGCTGAGGAGCAGGAAAGTGCGTCTCACTAGCAGGGGCTGAGGTTTGCGCCTCTAAGTCTGACGCCCTGCTCAGCCAGCCGGGGCTAACCTTGTATTCTGCTGATCTGTCTGTCTTAGGTCTTGAACTCGCTGCACAAAGGGCAGGGCCACATGTGGGGGATTCTCCCCAAGGGGAACCCAGCCCCGGTCCCCCACGGCTTACAGACCCCGTGCGGGATCACTTGTCAAGGGAACATGGTCACAGTCTGCAGGCATGTTGGGTGTTGGGAAGAGTGGGGCTTTCAGAGGGACCCCTCACCAGCCCCCAGACCCTCATCTACTTCCAAAGGGCCAGTGCCCTCTAGGCCACAACCTCATCACCGTTCCTTTTAGAGCTCAGTGAGCAGCCATTAGTATGTGCCAGGGGTCAGGCCAGGGGCTGGGGACTTGGTGAACTCCACGACCTGGCCCAGGGAATTTGTGCCAAGATCCTGTTTGCCATAGTGGGATCAGTAACAGTCAGACACTGGCTGGCAGCCAAATGCAAGACAGTGGATCTGCTGAGTCCATCCAACCAGCTGAGAGGAAGGAGCACACACAATCCTGGCTCTCCCACTTACTGGTTTTGTTTGGTGAGCTCCTCCCTCTCCGAGTTCACAATTCCCATTTGGAAATAGGGCAGCCGTTCCTACATTGTTCTGGAAGCAAACACTCCACATAAAGGGATGATGCTGCTACGGCCCTCGCATAAAGACAATCAGGAATGCTAGTCTCCTCCAGCTTCCCATCTTCCTCGGCCTTTTGTACACCAGGTGTGTCTCTTTTTTTTAATTTATTTTTTAATATATTTTATTGATTATTTACAGAGAGGAAGGGAGAGAGATAGAAAGTTAGAAACATCGATGAGAGAGAATCATCGATCAGCTGCCTTTTGCACCCCACCCCCACCCCCCTGGGGATGTACCCGCAACCAAGGTACATGCCCTTGACCGGAATTGAACCCAGAACACTTCAGTCCGCAGGCTGACGCTCTATCCACTGAGCCAAGCCAGTTGTCTCTTGCTCCTTACTTTTGATCCTTCTTGCTTCTCCCCAGCCCCCCACTGTCCATGATTGCTGCTCTGGTTGATTTTATCGGGATTGCCACCGAGTGTTTGCCTTTGCCCCAGAGAACAATGCAGCTTCCCCTCCTGCCTGGTTCACTATGGATACACCTCCAGGTTCACTCTAGACACACAAGTGGTACTCTGAAGTGTGAACGAACCCTGGTAGAAGCATCTCAGGCTCACTTTGGCCGATGAATCAGAGCTTGTCTGTAAAGAGCCCGCATGGGGCAGTGGGATGAGTCCAGGCCTGGGGGCGGAAGCTGAGCTGGAATTCCAGTTCTGCCACTCGCTAACCCCAAGCAAGTCCCAGGTCCCCAAGCAAGTCACTTCTCTCCTGAGTCTCAGGTGCCCTCTGCCATACATGTTTTGGTGTCATTACTCCCTGTCCCCAGGGTTCCTCTCATATTAGGCTCCTCTCTCCTGGCTCTGAGCTTGGTTCTGATCTTGGTGGTCTCTCCAGCCAGAGGTGCCCAAGGAGCAGAGCAATTGCCCCTAGACACCGCTATCAGGCCACACCTACAACACAGCAAACACAAGACAGGGACAATGCAGTTGGATGGCCATGGCAGGGGGATCTGAGATGCGGTCAGTCCTTATTGAGGCAACCACAAAAAGGGGGCAAACCACAGAGGGCATCTGAGATTTTCCCTGCCATCACCCTTTCCAAGCCAGGCCTGGCCGAGCTCAGGGCTGGCCTGGAGGGTCCCATCCTCACTGCTCTCTCTGGGTGCCTGCCACTCAAACTCTGGGCTCTGCACTCAGTAAATCTGCCCTCTGATTCTGTATGGCTACCTACTGTCCTCAGCCCCGAGGATCCCGGAGAGACTGGGCTAGAAAAGGAAGACGTTTCAAGGTTTGGCTCTACCTCTTGCAGTTTGTATGACATTGGGACAATCAGTTAACCTATAGGAACTATTTTTCTGGCATCCACATTACTAGGGAAATTTATGGCTGGCCTGTCTTCTCCTGACTAGTCGGCCCCATGCTGGCCACAAATATAACCTGAGAAAAATTCTGCCCATTTCCCCACGTTCTTTCCCTTCACCCTTTAGCTGGAGAACACCTAGGAGCCCCCCCTCCACTCTCCAGGAGGGCTGCCGAGTTTGTATCTATTCACTTTCAGCCCAAGACCTATATTAGGCTTCCTATATTAAAAAAAAAAAAAAAGTTTCTATTGATTTCAGAGAGGGAGAGGGAGAGAGAAACATCAATGAGAGAGAAACATCAATTGGCTGCCTCCTGCATGCTCCCTGCTGGGGATTGAGCCTCCAACCAGGAAATGTGCCCTAATCAATAACCTCTTAGTGCACTGGCCAGGCTGGGCTAGATTTTCCTTAAAATGGCTCCAAATCCCAACCTTTTCTTTCCCAAACGGAAGGAAAAAATTACCTCAAGATCGCTTCTGGTAGGCCATACGTGCTGACTTCCTCCTCATGGGCCTAGGAGTTTGGACAAGCACTTCCAGGCGGAGAAGTCACACAGTAATGTCTGCAGCTGTCGGCAGGGACAGGCTGAGTTAGGTGAGCCCAAGCTGCAGCAGGGGTCCCAAATGGAAGGTATCTAGCATCCTCACTCAGAGGCTTTGGCAGGTCAGCGGGGGAGCAAGCTGGCCATCAGGGTGCAGAGATGGCAGAGGTTGGCCTGAAGCACAGGCTGCCCTGAGCTGAAGAGTCGGTTGCAATTGAGTGGGATGTAGTTCCCAGAACCTTCTAGTGCCCCACCCAACTGGTGTTGGAGCATGGCAGAGGGGTGTCATATCACCCGGTCTGCTCCACAGGGGCTGCTGCCACCTGGAGTTATAGCTCCTCCAAGTCTGTCCTTGCCTTGAGGA